CACTCCCTGTTGTTTGGTAGTTTCCCACCAAGTAGAGGACTGTCCACCCCTCATGGTGGCAGGAGCCAGATCCGGTCCACCGGACCTCCTGAATGCCACAGAGATCCAGGCGGTGCCGGTACAGCTCCCGACAGCGGAGTGGCAGCCTCTCCTCCGCAACAAGAGTCCAAAACATTCCACGCGGCCAATCTCAGCGTGTCCTCTGCACCGCATGCACACACACACACACACATCCTCTGCACTGGACCACACACACACACACACTCATCCTCTGCACTGGACCACACACACACACACTCATCCTCCGCACCACACACACACACACTCATCCTCTGCACCACACACACACTCATCCTCTGCACTGGACCACACACACACACACTCACATCCTCTGCACTGGACCACACACACACACACTCATCCTCTGGACCACACACACACACACTCACATCCTCTGCACCACACACACACACACACTCATCCTCTGCACCACACACACACACTCATCCTCTGCACCACACGCCACACACACACTCATCCTCTGCACCACACACACACACACACTCATCCTCTGCACCACACACCCACACACACTCATCCTCTGCACCACACACACACACTCACATCCTCTGCACCACACACACACACACTCATCCTCTACACCACACACACACACACTCTCATCCTCTGCACCACACACACACACTCACATCCTCTGCACCACACACACACACACACTCATCCTCTGCACCACACCCACACACACACTCACATCCTCTGCACCACACACACACACACTCACATCCTCTGCACCACACACACACACACTCACATCCTCTGCACCACACACACACACTCATCCTCTGCACCACACACACACACACTCATCCTCTGCACCACACACACACACACTCATCCTCTGCACCACACACACACACACTCTCATCCTCTGCACCACACACACACACTCACATCCTCTGCACCACACACACACTCATCCTCTGCACCACACACACACTCACATCCTCTGCACCACACACACTCACATCCTCTGCACCACACACACACTCACATCCTCTGCACCACACACACACACACTCACATCCTCTGCACCACACACACACACACTCACATCCTCTGCACCACACACACACTCACATCCTCTGGACCACACCCACACACACACACTCATCCTCTGCACCACACACCCACACACACTCATCCTCTGGACCACACACACCCACACACATCCTCTGCACTGGACCACACACACACTCACATCCTCTGCACCACACACACACACTCACATCCTCTGCACCACACACACCCACACTCATCCTCTGCACCACTCCCACACAACAACAACCGCCATTCGCCACTAAGTGGCGGTGACGTCACCACGACGCTTGTGCCAGGCTATGTGCACCGTGAGGCTCCCACACACCCTCTGCACCGCACCACACACACACACACCCACACACTCGTCCTCTGCACCACACACACACCCACATAGACTCGTCCTCTACACCACACCGCACACACTCATCCTCTGCATCACACCCACATCCTCTGCACCGCACCACACACACACCCACACACCCACCCTCTGCACCGCACAACCACACATCCACACACACTCATCCTCTGCACCGCACCACACACACACCCACACACACATCCTCTGCACCGCACCACACACACACACCCACACACACTCATCCTCTACACCCACACACCCACAACAACAACCGCCATTCGCCACTAAGTGGCGGTGACGTCACCACGACGCTTGTGCCAGGCTATGTGCACCCTGAGGCCACGTGAAGTGTCGAACGCCCGCTGGCAGGAGGTCACGGGGCAGACCCAGGTGCCACGGGTCGACTGACTGAGATGACTGGCTGATGCACCACCTGTGCCCCCTACTGTGCCAACCTGCTGTGCTTTAGCCACCCGGCGCTCCGCTCGTTGTTCTGAGCGTCGCTCCTCCGCCCTCCGTTGTTGTTGGAGGGCGACTGCCTCCAACTGCCCAGTAGCATCCTTCACGAGCCTCCTCCACAGAGGCCGATCTTGACACCGCTGGTACCAGTCATCGGCAAGTCCACTCAGCTCCACGTCCTCCTGTACCACATCACTCCATCTCTTCTCTAGCCCGTGCCGCACCCACTTAGCCTCCTCGATCCGGCCGAACAAAAGCTGTTTCGGCATGCGGTGGCTGGGCATGCGGGCTACATGACCCAGCCATCGCAGCCTTGCCTGCCGGAGGAGCTCACCGATGGGACCCTGCCCAGATCTTTCAAGGATTTGTGAGCTCCTCACACAATCCAGTCTGGTTAAACCCAGGATGGATCGTAGGCAGGCCAGCCTAAATGTTTCTAACCGGCGAAGATGTTCCATTAGGGGGGTCCACGTTTCGCAAGCGTAGAGAAGGGAGGGAATGACCGTGGCCGAGAAGACCTGAAGCTTAGTGCAGAGCGACAGACCAGATAGCTTCCACACAGCGTTACGCAACCGATGAAAAGATATTGCCGCTCGACTGATTCGGAGTGAGACCTCTGCTGTTAAACTGGAGCCAGTCATAAGCACACTGCCCAGGTATGGGAAACTCTCCACTCTCTCCACAACTGCCCCATCACCGATTGGGAGTTGTGGGGGTGGAGTGTCCGATGGTACAAAATACCCAGGCAGGTGCTTAGTTTTGGTGGGGCTGATGGTAAGGCCCCACCTCTTAGTGGCACGCTCCAGTCTCAGCAGCAGGGTCTCCAACTCCTCCTCTGACTGAGCAGCTATTACCAAATCATCAGCATACATAACGTGGTTGAGAAATAGGGAGCCATCCCTTGACCGCACCCGGGCATCGATCAGCCTCCCATTATATCTGTACCATATGGAGATTCCCCCGGTACAGCTATTGAAGGCTTCACGAACTACGTGGTCAAAATAGATGTTAAATAATGTGGGAGCCAGAGGACATCCCTGTCGCACCCCAAGGTGTACAGGGAATGGCTCTGACTCCCGGCCACGTAGTTTTACCCGGGCCCGCTCACCATCATGAAGGTCCTTAATGATTGTGAGCAGAGGGTCAGGTACTCCAAAAGCACGAAGAACGACCCAGAGCCCAGGCCTACTGATGGTATCATAGGCCTTGACCAGGTCAATAAAGCAGAGATGTAGGTCTTGTTGGAATTCCCTACACCTCTGCTGTAGCAGACGGACAGAAAATATGGCATCTGTGCAGGACCGCCCTTTCCTGAAACCGCATTGGGGCTCCGCAAGCCTCTCCTCAGCGTGCCTGGCAAGGCGATGCTGAATAATCCTTGCCAGGACCTTTCCCGGTACACTGAGGAGTGAGATGCCCCTGTAGTTGTTACAGTCTGTGCGGTCCCCCTTCTTAAAAAGGGGGACCACCAGGGCATCCTTCCAATCCTGCGGAACCCGTCCAGTGGTCCAGACTGTTGTTATGATGTCATATAGGGCAGTCCGTGCACAAACGCCACCCTCCCTCTGCATTTTGCTTGGGAGATCATCTCTGCCCGCTGCCTTTCCTGGTCTCAGACTCCGGATCGCCTTCAATACTTCCTCAGCAGATGGCACCTCAGCCAGCCACTCACAGGGGGTGACTTCTTCCAATATTTGAGGCACCGCAGCCTCAGCAGGGTCATCCTCACTTTGTGCCACGATGTTTTCCTGGCTGAGGGATTTTCCCTCCCCCAGGACCTCACAGAAATGCTCAGCAAATCTGCGAACCTGTTCCTGGGGGTCGGAGATTGGATCACCGTTTTTTCCCCTAATGATGGTAAAAGGTGTGGCGCTGCAGGTTACTTTTTTGATGGAGTTAAATAGAGATTTGTGATCACGGGCCACTGAGGCAGACTCCATCTCCTCAGCAACCCGCGACCACCACCCATCCTTGCAGCGCCTCACGGCTCTCCGAACCTCCGAGCGAAGGCTGCGGTAAGCCTCCTCATTCTCTGACGTGGGATTCTGTAGCCGATGACAGTGGGCCTGTCGCTTTTTCTCAACCACCCTGAACACCTCCTCTGTCAGCCAGGGTCTCTGGGGAGGTCTGGACCGCGTACACAAAGCAGCCATTGCAGCTGCATGAGTCACAGTCCTAAACCTCGCCCATTTACCCTCGACATCAGGAGGAGTCGGGGACGATGCCAATCCCAGCCGCAAGCGATGATTAAATTCTCGCTTGCAACTTTCATCAGATAACTGAGACCAGGCCACTTTATGTTGGAATGGGGTCCTGGGTGTACACCCACCACCGGAGTGGAAGAATGGCAGGCGCATCTTACAGATGACTAGTCGATGGTCAGAGGGCAGATCAGCTCCACGGTAGGTCCTGGTGTCAAGGACATGGGCTCGCATTCGCTGGTCCGTCACTATGTAGTCCAGCAGATGTTCTTGCTTGGACCCGGCATGCATCCATGATGTTGTGTGGATGCGCCGATGCCGGAACAGCGTGTTGGTAATTACAAGCCCATGGGCTGCACAAAAATCTAGCAGCCTCCTACCGTTGTTATCGAGCTGATCTGGCCCATGCCCTCCAATCACCAGACCACACACCCACACACCCACACACCCACACACCCACACACCCACACACCCACACACCCACACACCCACACACCCACACACATCCTCTACACCACACACACACCCACACACCCACACACCCACACACACACACCCACACACCCAGACACCCACACACCCGCCCACACACACACACCCACACACCCACACTCATCCTCTACACCACCCACACACCCACACACCCACACACACACCCACACACCCACACACCCATCCTCTACACCACACCCACACACACACACCCACCCACACACCCATCCTCTACACCACACCCACACATACACACCCACCCACACACCCATCCTCTACACCACACACACACACCCACACACACACCCACACACCCACACACACACACCCTCTACACCACACCCACACCACACCCACTACACCACACCCACCCTTGCGGTTCATGCCCATCTGCAGGCACTTGAGGAGGCGGCAGTACTGGCAGCGGTTGCGCTGCTTGCGCGACATGACGCAGGCGCGCCCGCGAGCGCAGCGGTAGACGCGCTTGTTGCAGATGCTGCGCTTGAAGAAGCCCTTGCAGCCCTCGCACGACACGATGCCATAGTGGAGGCCCGTCGCCCGGTCCTCGCAGATCAGGCAGCTGCGGGTCTCCGACACCGGCGGCCCAACGACGCCGCCGGCACCGGCAGCACCGCCGCCGCCGCCACCTCCCATTGCTCCTCCTCCCATTCCCATTGCTCCTCCTCCCATTCCCATTGCTCCTCCTCCCCCTCCCATTGCTCCTCCTCCCATTCCCATTGCTCCTCCCCCTCCCATTGCTCCTCCTCCCATTCCCATTGCTCCTCCCCCTCCCATTCCCATTGCTCCTCCTCCCCCTCCCATTGCTCCTCCCCCTCCCATTGCTCCTCCCCCTCCCATTGCTCCTCCCCCTCCCATTGCTCCTCCCCCTCCCATTGCTCCTCCCCCTCCCATTGCTCCTCCCCCTCCCATTGCTCCTCCCCCTCCCATTCCCATTGCTCCTCCCCCTCCCATTCCTCCACCCATTGCCCCTGCCCCTCCCATTGCCCCTCCCATTCCCATTGCTCCTCCACCTCCCATTGCCCCTCCCCCTCCCATTGCTCCTCCCCCTCCCATTGCCCCTCCCCCTCCCATTGCTCCTCCCCCTCCCATTGCCCCTCCCCCTCCCATTGCCCCTCCTTCTCCGAGCTCCATTGCCCCTCCTCGGAGCTCCATTGCTCCTCCCCCTCCTCGGAGCTCCATTGCTCCTCCCCCTCCTCGGAGCTCCATTGCCCCTCCTCCGAGCTCCATTCCCCCTCTCATTCCTCCTCGTCCCACCCCCATCGCCCCACCCCCAAGCTCCATCGCTCCTCCCACCCCCACCGCCCCTCCCCCAAGCTCCATCGCTCCTCCCACCCCCACCGCCCCTCCCCCAAGCTCCATCGCTCCTCCCACCCCTCCTCCCCCAAGCTCCATCGCTCCTCCCACCCCCACCGCTCCTCCCACCCCCACCGCTCCTCCCCCAACCTCTCCTCCATCACCCCCAACCCCCATCGCTCCTCTTCCCCCCCCCATCACCATCCCTCCCCCTCCCCCCACCAGCCTCACCCCCCCTCCCCCCACCAGCGCCCCCCATCAGCCCCCCCGGGCCTCCGACCGCTCGGCCGCGGGGCCGAGCGGCCTCCCCCTGCCGGTCGCCTCCCGCCGGTCGCCCGTGGGGGCGCCGGGGCCCGCCGGGTCGGCCGCCCGGGCCGGGGTCGCGACCTCGCTTGAGGCCCGGTCCGGGATGCGGGAGAGGAGGAGGGAGGGGGCGGCCGGGCGAGCCGCCGGCGTCCCCGCGGGGCCGAGCCGCCGGGTCGGCGGCCGGCGAGGCCGGGCGGCCGGCCTCCGGCGGCCGGGCCGACGCGGCCGCCGCCGGGGGCGGGGGAGGGGCGGCCGCCAAGCCGTCGGTCGCCGCGACGCCTCCTTCCAGGGGGCCGCCTGCCCCAACGGGGGTTGCCGTGGCGAAGGTTGCCGTGGCGAAGGTTGCCGGGGAGCCGGTTGGCGCGGCGTCGGTGGTGGGGTTGCCGGTTGCGGGGGCGCCGGTCGGCGTGGCCCCGGTTGTGGGGGCCCCGGTTGTGGGGGTGCCGGCTGCCAGATCGCCGGTTGCAGGCGAGCCGAATGCCGATGCACCGGTTGCAGAGGTCCAAATTCCACCCGCACCACAATTTCGATCCTCCACACCGCCGGTTGTTGTTGTTGTTGCTGGGGCAACACCGCCGGTTGTTGTTGTTGTTGGGGCAACACCGCCGGTTGTTGTTGTTGTTGCTGCTGCTGGGGCTGCTGGGGCAACACCGCCGGTTGTTGTTGCTGCTGCGACACCACCGCCGGTGGTTGTTGTTGTTGTTGTTGCTGGGGCACCACCGCCGGTTGTTGTTGTTGCTGCTGCTGCGACACCACCGCCGGTTGTTGTTGCTGCTGCTGCTGCGACACCACCGCCGGTTGTTGTTGCTGCTGCTGCTGCGACACCACCGCCGGTTGTTGCTGCTGCTGCTGCGACACCACCGCCGGTTGTTGTTGCTGGGGCACCACCGCCGGTTGTTGTTGCTGCTGCTGCACCACCGCCGGTTGTTGTTGCTGGGGCACCACCGCCGGTTGTTGTTGCTGCTGCTGCACCACCGCCGGTTGTTGTTGCTGGGGCAACGCCGCCGGTTGTTGTTGCTGCTGCTGCTGGGGCAACACCGCCGGTTGCAGAAGCCTCGGTTGCCGTGGATCCGGTTGCACCGCCTCTGGCCGAGGGGCCTCCGGTTGCCGTGCCTCCCCCGGTGGTTGCCGTGCCTCCGCCGGTGGTTGCCGTGCCTCCGCCGGTGGTTGCCGTGCCTCCCCCGGTGGTTGCCGTGCCTCCCCCGGTGGTTGCCGTGCCTCCCCCGGTGGTTGCCGTGCCTCCCCCGGTGGTTGCCGTGCCTCCCCCGGTGGTTGCCGTGCCTCCCCCGGTGGTTGCCGTGGCTGATGTTGCCAGCGCTGGAGCTGGGGATGATGATAATAGAGGTGGCGGCACAGGGAGGTGGTGGTGGTGGTGGTTGTGGTGCAGGAGAGAGCCGGGGCTTCGGGAAGTGGGATGGCCACCCATTGGTACCGCGCTCGTGGTCGTGTGGGCGTCTGGAGGAGGGGGTAGAGAGGTGAGGGAGAGAGCCACGTGACTGCCCACCCACTCATCCACCTAACCGCCCATCCCCACACACGCTCACCGACCCCTTCCACATCCCCCAATGCATTTTTTCCCACCAAGCCATTCACCGACACTCCGGCACACCCATTGGCCGACTCTGAGACACTCATTCACCGACTCTGAGACACACATTCACCGACACTGAGACACACATTCACCGACACTGAGACACACATTCACCGACACTGAGACACACATTCACCGACTCTGAGACACTCATTCACCGACACTGAGACACAGATTCACCGACTCTGAGACAGATTCACCGACTCTGAGACACACATTCACCGACTCTGAGACACACATTCACCGACTCTGAGACACACATTCACCGACTCTGAGACACACATTCACCGACACTGAGACACACATTCACCGACTCTGAGACACACATTCACCGACACTGAGACACACATTGACCGACTCCGGCACACACATTCACCGACACTGAGACACACATTCACCGACTCTGGCACACCCATCTTTGGTTATTTCGGTAAAGTCACCAGGTAGAATGAGAATAAAATAATAAATTGATAAAATAAAATAACACAATAAAATTCTCACGACGTTTCGGCCACAACACAATCGGCCTTCATCAGGTGAAGGGACGAGACTCTGGTAGGACAGTCTGAAGGGACGAGACTGTCTGGAGGACAGTCTCATTCCTTCACCTGATGAAGGCCGCTTGTGTTGTGGCCGAAACGTCGTGAGAATTTTATTGTGTTATTTTATTTTATCAATGTATTCTTTTATTCTCATTCTACGTGGTGACTTTACCGAAGGAACCAAAGAAGATGAATCCTTGCAATCACGAAAGCTTTAAATCTCGGACGCCCATTCGCCAAATGCAAAGATCCCCCGTGTAGCCTTAACAGACTGCCAGGGCAAGTGCTGTTAAGCGAGTCACAGCGCCGATGAAGGCCGGCACTGTGGCACACGAGGGGGTGGGTGGCCAGCACCACGCCCGGCCGCCTTTGTCTCTCCCCAGTGGCGATGTGTACTAGACTACTGCACCAGGTACTCATTTGGGGTCGAGTCAACCACGGGGCTTGTGCCAGGCTGTGTGCACGTTAAGGCCGCCCACAGAGCCACCCACACACACACAACCACACACAGACACCCACACCCACACACACCCACACACAGAGACACACACACCCACATACACCCACACCCACATACACCCACACCCACACACAACCACACAGAGACCCACACACAACCACACACACCCACACACAACCACACACAGAGACCCACACACAACCACACACAGAGACCCACACACAACCACACACAGAGACCCACACACACCCACACACAGAGACCCACACACACCCACACACAGAGACACCCACACACAGAGACACCCACACACGGAGACACCCACACACAGAGACACACACACCCACACACAGAGACACACACACCCACACACAGAGACACCCACACACAGAGACACCCACACACAGAGACACTCACACACAGAGACACCCACACACAGAGACACCCACACACACACACACAGACACCCACACACACACACACACAGACACCCACACACACAGACACCCACACACACACACACAGACACCCACACACACAGAGAGACACCCACACACACACAGAGACACCCACACACCCACACACACAGACACCCACCCACACACACCCACACACACCCACCCAGAGACACACACACACAGAGACACCCACACACAGAGACACCCACACACAGAGACACCCACACACACACAGACACCCACACACACACACACAGACACCCACACACACACACAGACACCCACACACAGAGACACCCACACACACACACACACAGACACCCACACACACACAGACACACACACAGACACACACACAGACACACACACAGACACCCACACACAGACACCCACACACAGACACCCACACAGACACACACACAGACACCCACACACAGACACCCACACACAGACACCCACACACAGACACACACACAGACACCCACCCACACACACACTCACACCCCGGCTGCCGAGGAGTGGCAGTAGGGGACAGAGGGGCCGGCAGATGGAGCAAGGGGTGGGCGGGAGATGTCACCTGAGATATGGTGCCTGTGAGCGGGGTGAGTGAGCGGGGTGAGTGAGCGGGGTGAGTGAGTGGGGTGAGTGAGAGGGGTGAGTGAGCGGGGTGAGTGAGAGGGGTGAGTGAGTGGGGTGAGTGTGAGCGGGGTGAGTGAGTGGGGTGAGTGAGTGGGGTGAGAGAGTGGGGTGAGTGAGTGGGGTGAGTGTGAGCGGGGTGAGTGAGTGGGGTGAGTGAGAGGGGTGAGTGAGAGGGGTGAGTGAGAGGGGTGAGTGAGAGGGGTGAGTGAGAGGGGTGAGTGAGAGGGGTGAGTGAGTGGCGTGAGTGAGTGGCGTGAGTGAGGGGTGAGTGAGCGGGGTGAGTGAGTGGCGTGAGTGGCGTGAGTGAGTGGCGTGAGTGAGTGGGGTGAGTGAGCGGGGTGAGTGAGTGGAGTGGAGTGAGTGGGGTGAGTGAGTGGGGTGAGTGAGTG